TCAGCTGGGTAAAAAGAATATGTTAATACTTTATCTCCTGCAAGCATGCTAATCAGAGGGAGAAGGGATTTCTGAAAAGTTTATAATTACAGAAACTCGCAGACTTCAAATGTTACTTTTTCGCACTAGTTTTATTATTGGAACAATACCAAGGTAATTTGCAAACCAACCTGACATCATTAGAATAAAGTATGCCAAACACTGTGTACAGAGCCCCCTATGTGATAGCAATACATTTAAGTGTAAAAAAAAAAATTAAAGACTCATATGTAAAAAAAAAAAAAAAAACACCAAGAAAAAAAATGTAAGTCCCCCGTCTTGGCATGTACGCACATATAAACGTAAATATGCGTCGGGTTACATATCGTCACGAACATGGGAGTGTGAGTAATAATTGTAGGGCCATTAATCACTGATAACACTACTGTAAACTAATGAGCAGTAAAAGCTCTTAAAGAGTCGCTTATGGACAATTTTAGGCATTGTATTTTTTTGCGATTTCAAAGACGCACGCCTTTTTACCTGACGTGACTCTGTCTTTTATATTTTACCAAAAAATTGGGGTGATAATAAATGTTTCATAGCATAACATAGGGAAAACAGTTTTTTTTCAAAATGTTCTGATCTTTTTTCATTATATAGTAAAAAATAAAAATCCCAGTAGTGATTAAATACCACCAAAAGAAAGCTCCATCTGTCCCCAAAATATGGTATAAAATTATTTTCAGTATAGCGTTGAATGATTAAATAAAGTACTGCAGCGCTGAAATCTGAAAAATGGCCTGGCCAGGAAGGGGGTTTAACACCCCGGTCAGCAAATGGTTAATCAATCACCATGGAGGGTGGTAAGTGGGCGAAGTGGATGAAAATATCCCTAGACAAGAAGATTACTGAGTTGCGGTAACCCATAGTAATCGATCCTAGCACTGTGGTTTTCCTATCTCAGGGTGTCCTGTGTATTTGTTGTAGAGGTGCATCGTGGAGGAAACACAGGGTCCATAGCTTTATTACTGTATGCTGCTCTGTAAGGGGTGTGCTACACAAGTAATTGTAAATGGGCCTTGAAGGGA